TTCTTATCACAGAAAGTATCAGCTCACATGGCAGGTGTCACTGCTGAGCAAGGGAGCACTTCAATGAAGGGAAAAAAACTAGGTATGGTTTCTGTATTAGTGGACAGGTCTTGGATTTCCCCATTCATTAATATACAGCAGGAGCATGATTTTCACTTCTCTTTCAGTCACCGTTTAATTATGTTTTTGCAGGAGGAAACAGCTCCAGCACTGCAGGGCTGAAGTGTGAGAATCTGAGAGCCTAACACTGAGTTACTCTGGGGGGGGGGCAGTACGGGAGCTGCAATTTGGGAAATCAAGCAGCTTATTTAGGCTCAGTGCCAGCACTGACCCACCCGGCCCATTTCCTCACTGTGCCAAGTGGGGTCTTTGATAAAGTGAGGGGTCTAAGGATTAATGTAGCTGAGCTGCAGCTCATAAAAATCAACCAAAGTCACACCCGTGAGGTCCTGTAAATACTCTGAGTTGCAACTGGGCTGCCTGCCCCATGCCAATGTGCTCCTGCCTCATCCGCTCACAACGCCTTGTTTTTTGGTTGATTCTCTATAGTCCAAAGTACGTCACTTTCTAGACAACCAGATGTCTCACTCAACTGCAAATAAAGCTTCTTCTTCTGTTTGAAGTATTTTTAAAGATGCTTGTGGGGAGAAGGATGAACAATAAACTCATTAACATTGAAAAGAACTTCTAAATTCAATGTTGCTTTTAAAAAAATAAAATAAATATTTTGGTTCCAAAATGCCGTTACTCTGATATTTTTAGCATTCCTGTTTCCTTTTGTCTAACACGAACTATTTGATGAAAATGTCACGGATTTGCAGATCATTTTGTTGTCACAAAATCTGTATTTTCATCCAGCCTCTCCCCCCTTCATCTGATGCCAAAGTAATTTTCAGGGTGTATATCTGTAAATATGTAACCAGTCAATTAATAAGCCTTGCTCTGAGGATTTCCTCACAAAACCAAACATGGAAAATAACCACTATAAAAATTTCAGTCAGATGAAAAAAATTAAAAAATGTACAAATTAAGAGAAATTTTTTATCTGCATTTTTTCACATAAACTGGGAAAAAAAAAAATCAACCCAGGAATCTTGAAAGTGTCAGAATGTTTCATTGTCACATTGAAAGTGAAGCGGTAATAGAGGCGACCGATCTTGCACCACCAAAAGCAATGGTGCAAATGAGTCAGAAGTGGCAGCATGCCTAGACAAGCGGCTGAACTTTAATGGTGGAGGAACTGCTTTTAGCATTAATCAATTCTAAATTATATCGTTGCTGTGAAAGAATACAAACTTATGCTCAAAATGAGCTGTTATGGCAATAAAAAAGAAGCCTCAAAAGATCAGCATCCATTGGGTGTTTGCTCAGTAGAACATGATACCCAAAGCAAGAGCTATTTCCCCTTTCAGTAGTCAGTATTCCTCATCTGATTTAAGGCAAAATATTGTTTAGTTTGTCCCAGAAATAATCTGTGCTTCACTATCAGCTGTCCTCTGCTTTCCTTGGCTCATCATCAACTTCCCACAAATTCCTCACTTTATCTCACCTTGCCACCCACCACCTTTGCTAATTTCTGGCAAGCACAGGGACAAAACTGTATTTTCTCAGGTAGTCAAACCTACTTCAAAACATTTTGATCACTTCCAGTCTAGGTTCATGCAATACCTTCTACACCTGACCACTGATATTCAAGTCTTCCTCCGCCTTAACCATCTAGTCCCCTCCGAGTCAAAGTGAGATTATCTGCATGGAACAGCTGCCTCAGTATAAAACTGTCAAAGTTTAAATGTCTCCATCTCTGGTTTTGCTTCCCCTTATTCAAAGGTTTCTTTTCCATCAGTGACTGCAGGCTCTAATCTCCCATTTTGATGCAGTATCGGCCTAAAGAAATTGCTGTCACAAAAAAAAAAAACCCACCAAATTGCAAAATATTAGACCAAACTCTGTTTGGGATGAAGCACAAGGGAAGCGCAGGTATCACGGCGTTTAAGTTTGCAGAGAAGGCAGCACATTCTCCGAGTTTTGCATGCAGGATCAGAAACTCCAGGCAGTCACATGGTGGTTAGCATGTCCCTGGGAAAGACACGCTCAGCCAGGGCTCAGTTCGCATCCTTCAAGTTACTGATCCAGGTTTCCAAGATTTACCAAGACTCTTTGTGTGTTTATACAAGAAACCAGACTGGCTCATACAGAGTCATTCTGGTTTCCAATACAGTATTAGGATTTTAAAAGGACAAATCCTCATAATGTATATTTAACCCAGCCAAAGATGAGGCCTTAACGATTCATTCCAATTGCTTCGCTCACCGAGGACTTATTCCAGTTGCTTTGGAAGTCTAAAGCACGTTTCTCAAATTTTCCTATTTCTCATGCATGTTTTTTTCCCAAATATTGCACATATATTACAAATCCAATAAAGAAATAGCTGATACTCTAGAATTAAAGTTTATACGCTTGCATACGACTAAATGCATTCACACAACACTGCACAGCCATGCAATAAGCGTGGTGATTATGCAATGTATGCATGTACATGCAGTATTTGATTTACTCAGTACAAAGCCTCTTTATTCAGCACAAAGAGTCTTTATTGATGCTCTGCTGACACTTTCCTGATTTATTTTGTCATCAACTTGCTCACTAAGTGAACAGAAACTTCTTTTTGTTTTCGCAGTGGCTCACTAGACAATTCAGTCATGATCCCTGCATACTCACCAGGCTTCTAGAAGCATGAGCTCTCTATAGACCATAAACCTATTAGCCACAGCATATATTTTGGTTATACTTATATATATATATATATGTTTAAGCTTAAACCTTGTGACATTCAGGGTAGCTTGTAGGACAGATTATGCTCAGGAATAACCACTTCTTAGCCTGTCATGAAAAAAAAAAAACAATAAGCATATGTATGTGTGTGTTTGTGAATTGCTACCATTTTTTAGTAATAGGTGATAGTAAATCAGATCCTGATCCTGTGAGCTTTAATCGCACAAAATGTCACTGTTCTTATTGTTGCTCTGGATGTTCAGCATGAACAAGGATCCCCCCTCAGCTGCAGAATCAGCCTCGTAGTTCCTGCCAATGCTGGTACAAGGCTCCACTTCTTTTACTGCACAGCTCAAAAAAGCTCACATAGAAAAATAAACAGTGCTACCTTTTACTACACAGTAGAATAAAGGGCACGTTATTAAGAGGAAAACACCTCTAATGCAACACTTAGGATAACATGTGTGTGCTTAGGCTCTGCAACAAAGCAGTAGGGATGTTATCTTACAATTCTTCCAAAGGAGCAAAACATATCTAGGTGTGGGATCTGGCTCCCTGCTCTTCCTAAAAAGATCCTGAGTCTCCCTCATGTGCCACTGCAGATGGCAAAAGCTGCAGTAGCTCTGCACTTTGTGGGAAACACTCAGTACCTCACAGAATGAAACTGAGGACTGAAATAAACCAATGAATTTTCTGTGGTTCAAACCCTGGTTAATCCTTTGGAAAAGAAAAAAAAAAAAAAAGAAAGAAAAGCATTTTCAGCATCCAGCACTAAAGATTGCCAGGACTCATCACATTCCCTAACATGTGATTTGGATGTTACAGCATGTGGCATTTTCATGTATAGGTCTCCCTTTGTGAGGGACCAAGCACATTCTAGGAAATGTCTGACATTCACTGTGGTTTATATGTGGATGCAATCAATAGGATTTTTTTTTCCTGCAGTTTGTTATTGCTCATCAATACATGGTTGGATTCTCTTTTGCTTGGGCTCAATGACACTTTCTCACATCACTGACACCATCAGGAGAAGCAGCGCATCTCTAGGAAGAGCTACAGCTCCATCTCATACTGCACAGGGTGCTCTTTTGTCCTTGTTTCAGCTGGCTTGACACAAGTACCAAATAAATGAGCTGTCCCCTGACAGTAATGCGAAGTCCCAATAATAACTGTGTATCATTCTAGCATGCAAATGACATCGTGGCAATTGGTTAATTCATAGTATTAGGATCACCCCTCATACCAAGATGGCAACATACCACAAAGAAATTTTTCAAATTCCACTGCAATTCCTACATTTTTATTTCAGACAATGCTTTGCTACCCTGCCTTCCTCCTCTGCCTAATGTCCCGTATCCTATAACCTCTACGTTTTATTGGTAGTCCTAATGTAGCGAGTAAAAAAATGTAAATCCCTTGAGGATGCAAGCAAGGTTATAGTCAGGTCATGAAGCAGAATGTTAAACCCTAATTGTATAGGCCAAATCCCCAGGACTCACAGAAGCCACATCTCCACCTAAAAATCACAGCTTTCCAGTCCAGATACATAACCTATAAAGGGAAATGTGAAAACATAACTATATGTGGCCTACAGCTGGGCCTCTGGTACTGAGCAGCTTGCAAGATTAAGCCTTTTCACACATAGATGTGACACTAACAATTGAGAGACTGAAGAATGTGCACCTAGAGGTGTGAAAAAAATGCACAGCACAAATCACATCCCTTTTACCAAAACCTCCCCGAACCCCAGGTACACATGACTGCACGTTCCGAGGAGGCTGTGCAAATGCCTGCAGTCTGCCCATGCCACAGGGCTCCCCCAGGCACACGCACACCTACCGCCGTAATCCGGCGGCTCGGTTCATGCCGGGGCCGCTGGAAGCCGGTGGCCGCGGCCTCCCAGCACCGCTGCACCAGGTACGCGCCTGCGAAGTGACCTCGGGAGCGCGTTTGTTCCCCGCTGCTGCATCTCCTCATCTTTTGCAGGGAATTCAGCGTGTTTCTCTCTTTAACAGGGCGTTGAGTCCAACGGCAGTGACACAGAGACGCTTTGTGCTGACGGCAGGTACCGTTACCGGAGAGCGTGTTTAAGGGACAGCGCCTGCTCGCTGCCGCTGGACCCGTTCCCAAGGCGGCAGCCTCGGGCATCTCTGCCCCGCCGCTACCAGCCCCCAGGTGCGGGAATCGCCGGGGGCCGCCAGCCGCCGTCCTTCCCTCCCGCTCCTTACCAGGCTCATGCTCGCCGGGGCGGTCGGACACCTCGATGACCAGCAGCTCTCGGCCCTCGGCGCTGCGCCCCACCGTGTAGATCCTGGTGATGGCCGGGCACTGCAGCCACACGGCCACCAGCGCCTCCCGCAGCTCGGCGTACCGGTGGTACTCGAAGGAGATGCCCTCCTCGGAACTCAGCCGCCGCCGCCGGCTGCTGCCCCCCGCCCCGTCCGATGGCTCCGATGCCCGGCAGGCAGCCAGCAGCCCGCAGAGCGCCAGCAGCAGCGCCCGCACCCGCACCGCCATCCCGCACGGCTGCCCGCGGCCGCGCAGCTGCCGCCCGTCCCGGCGGGAGGGAGGGAGGGAAGCAAGAAGGGAGGGAGAGGAGGGCGGGCGGAGGCGATGGGGAGGGACAGGGAGTGACCGGCCGCTCCGCCCCTCTCCGCGGCGGGAATAGCGGCAGCTCCCCGCGGAGGGCGGAGGTGCGGGCGCGGCCCCGCGGTACCGGAGCCGCAGGGTGCGGGCGGAAGCCTCTGGAGCCGTCCTCATCATAATAATGCATTGCAAGAATTCGGGTGCGCGTTTTCCACATTGCTTCATCGTTTTATTTTTCTATCATGCGGGGCATGCAGGCAGTCTCACCCGGTCACAAACCTGAGTGCTCCGTGAAAGACTCAAACGGCACCACTGAAGAATAACACAAATCTATCTGGCCTCACAGGGAACACTATAAACAATCGTCTATAAGGTTGCTTTGCTCATCATTTGTGAGGTAGCTTTGCTGCATCACAGAAAACAAAGGATATAAAGCAAGACTTAGTGTTACTGAGAATACTGATGTAGCACATCCCACTATGTTCAATGGGAATGAATGCTCATGTGAGGAAGTATTTGCAATATTATTAACAAATCACAGTTTCTTCTAGACTGCAGATACCAGAGGACTTTTGAAGCCATCTGTTTTTTTCAACCTGTTTTTATAGGCATAGGTGTTTAGACTATGTTGAAACAGCCCATAGAGGACATCTGAGAAAAGAACAAGGCTAAATGCTAAAGAGCAACTGCCATATCAGTAGTTTTTATTATTTCAAAAGGACACAAAGCCTTGCTGAAGAATTTTGAGAGATTCAACATTTTGAAATGTTAGAAAATCACACATCCAACTCATAATTCTACAAATAGATTCTTGTCCTCAATAATTTAACACAAGTTTTACCTTACTCTTCTAATTGAAAAGAGTGAGCCTGTACCCCCTTCCATCACCAATTTATACTGAATCAATTCTCAGGAAGATTTGTTAATAATCCCTTGTGATCAGATGGATATTTCCCTAAATTCTGGCTATGTAGTTCCAACCAATAAGATAATGAAAATAATGTCTTCTAAGAGAACATTTTCATTGACATTTCATGATATACCAACCAGCTTGGAAACCCATCCAGCATACGCAACTCAAACCTGAAAATGCAGCTCTCTCTCTCTCTCTCTCTCTCTCTATATATATATATATATATACACTATATATAAATACTTACTGCATTATTTGGAACAAGAATCAAAGGTCAGTTCACCCAATTCTCACATATTTCAAGGCCAATGGGGTTCAGAGGCTTCTCTATCTAGTTTAATTCCAGGGTTACAAGAATGCAGCCATGTGCAAGGGCACCTTCAGAGCACTTTGTTGAGCATTCAACTCTCCATTCTCACTGCTAGAAAACACTGGGAGATGCCTATCATATCATGTCACATTAGCTCTGGGGTTATGGCAATACAAATGCAAATTTACTCTAAGGATTTTGCAAGATTTGGATGTACAGAGACTTCCTGGTATGTTGTTTTCTCTCCCCAAAATCACTGCTCAGACTTAGGATCGCAGGCGTGCCATCCCTCTGGCTTCTCTCCTCCTAATGACAGGAATGATATCATAAATTTGTTTACAACTTCACACCACTTTAGAATTATGTGCAATATGTGCAGCACTCTCAGAGCTCCAAGATGAACTGCAACTAAAGGCAGCTGACCTAGCATTCAAAAGATTCACATGATTTATCACTTTTGTTGGCTACATTCGTCACAGGCTAAATATTCCTTGTTTTCTTCATCACTTTCCCTTGCACCTTATATACAAAGTAAACAAATCTGCTAATGCTGTGATTTTAGACTTACACTGTCATTTTCTGGAATAACTTTGTGATCAGACAAAAAAAAAAAACCTTTGTGCAGTGCAGCAATTCTCATTGGCTTCCCTTCCGATTATTTTTCCCCAAATACATCACTAAAAGGTACAAGTAGGCTCAGAAATCATCTATTTCTTTCAATCTGTGCAAGCAGAAAATCATTATTTAATACACAAAATTAGTCTCACAACTAGATCCGAATGGTATCACGTTAATTTCCTTATTAACTCCCCACTCTAAAAAATTAAGAGAATGAGTACTTGTAAAAACACATGCATATATGTATCTTGTGTAAAACAGAGCGCTTCATATACTACCAAATATTTCATTTTCAGTTTGCATGTACTAATTTCTTTTTAATAAGGGACTACAAAAGACTGCTTAGATTCTCAAAGATCTTAGGCGCATTCGCAGAACTGAGCAAAAGAAATAAACTGATGACTTCCTTTGTAACCAATCCCTCCTCTGCTTTTTCATAGTTAGCGATGATGACTATCATCACATGCGAAGCACAAATGTCTTGTAACATGGAAAAGGGTTTTGTATTTGCTTTAGTCTCAGAAGAATACCCTAACCCCAAGTGCATTCTCAGCCTATATGCATAACCATGCTCCTAGGTATGGCCTTGTAATCTAATAACACTAATTAGAGCAGGGAGTAGAGCCCAAGTGTTCCGTGTCCAAATAATGTCCCTATCAGCAGATTTCAAAACTGGATCATCTCTTTCTTCTGTCTGTATATGACACAGAATAATAGATTATATTTTATTAACAAACAGCCTAAATAATTCTGCAATGCTGAAGAAAATTTCATTGACATTTCCAAAAAATATTTTTATAGACAAATACATATAAAAATATACACAAATATATATAACGTTCATACATTATTACATATCACTCAATTCTTTTGGCCAAAACAATTTGCTGAATGTGATTCAAATGTTCACAGACTTTTGACTTGCCTGAATTTGTCTTTTTCAGCAAGTCATGATTCATCAGCAAGTATACAAATAAATCTTAAAAAAAAAAACCCCAAACCAAGCAAACCCTCACACTCACAGAGTTCTGCTTACAAGACTTGAGTAACTCTGTGCTTTTTTTGTGTGCGCCAAGCAGGCTGAGGCAACTGTTTTCTTTTATAGCCCAAAAATAAAAAAAGGCCAAACCCCAAAATGTCCATTATAAACATTAGAAGTACATTAGCAACAACAGAAACCTCAAAACACTCTATGATGGAGGTCAGATATTTAAATTATATTTAAACTACTTACATGACTAATAACAAAGTACTAATTGTGCCATGGAAATACTCAGTAAACTTCTCTGGTTTATGTTTGGAAAGATTGTGAGCTTGCACTACACTGCATAAAGAAGACAGTGTTTTCTAATATACAAATAAACTGAACATAATGTGCAAGGGAGAAGTGTGTTCAGATCAGCAAAACCAAATCACTAGGTGGTCTTTAAGGCCCCCTCTAAGAAGGGCTATTTTTGGCCTAATATCCACTTATATCACATTTTCAAGGCTTGGAAAATTCTGAAAGACTGATTAGGGTATTAACACAGAACAGCTATTCACAAAAAACAGCTCTAGACCATGTATGTCCTCAGAGACCAGGTAAAAGCTGGTAAGCATTTTGATCAAGAAATCAATGATAGGAATAGCTCAAATCAATTTCAACAAGAGAACAGTTGATCTGTGTTGACAGATTACCGGACAATTAGGTAGAGATAACTTGTGAGTTTTAAGAAGCTTTTACAAAACTTATCTGCATGCCGATTGTATAGCCATATCATACCTGACAGCTCTAGTCACTCGAAGCTACGTCTTCAAGACAGAATTTTCTGTTACCAGCTTCCAAGATGTCTTGCACAACTCAGTGGCTCTGTTTCCGTGATGCTTGCAAAACAGGATTGAGATAGGGAAAGCTGCAGCTTTTCCAGTACCTAGAGAACAGGTTTCACATAAGGCACGCCAAAGGAAATATAAACTAAAAATAATTAATTTTCAAAAATCCACAGACGAGGCAGTTACATAGAGGGTTACAGGAAGGGAAAGGGAAAAGAACACCCCACCTTCCAGTTATGCATTGCAAGTCTGAATGTTTTATTGTCTCCGCCTTTTAAATGACTCACCCATGTTACTGAAACTCAAATCAGGTATTTAAGAGGCTACTGTGCTCTTGTGGGGGTGCTGAGCAGCCTACACATGTACGTAAAGCCTCTTTATAGACTGCAACATACACTTCATACGAAACGTACCTGACATTTGCACTTACATACTGCATACCTACAGACGGCTCATTGCTGCCCCTTGTTTCAGTTTGCAGGAGTAACCACAGCTCCTAGCATGATGCTGGGGCTGAGACATTGAAGTGCTTCTAAGAAATGGCATGGCTATGGTGCCAAACACTCTCATACGTTGAAACTACTATGCAGGATCACTGTGACGGTTTATAAAACTGCCTGAGAGGGTTTCTAAAAGTGGCGAGTCATTATCTAACAGCAGTGGTCTTCCAAAGGGACTGGTATTTCAAATCCAGGGGTTAATTTACTCAGTGATTACATATATGTGGGTCAAAACTCATTAAAATTCATGGATGACAAAGAATGGTGAATAATAAGGATACAGAAGCTCTGGAATGTGACTTAGGTTACTTAGTAAGTTGAGCACGTTTAAATATTTCAGAGCATAAAATTGCAAATTACACTTAAGAGCAAGAAATATAAAACACTCTGCAACAGTCTGTCAAGCAGTATTGCTAGACGCATTGAGAGATCCCAATAGGTAACTTGACAATATTTTCCAGCATAGTGCTGCAGAACAGCTAATTTTGTCTTTGAATGTTGACAGAAGACAATATTCAAAGAGGAAGGATGTGATTATACCAAAGTGATATTAGAGAGAATAGTGTAGACATACAGCTGAACCAAGACATAGAGAATTCAGAAACAAGGCACGGAAGTGATCTGAGAAATAGAGCATATGCCTTACTGCAGAGGACATGACATAATCCAGGTAGACAGTGAAAAATACAATTGAAATGCTATTTGACTGCTGTGTTTATTACCTTGACATATAGAAAATTATAGCAAGAACCCATGGTGAGAGGTCGCCTTCTCCCTGGACCTGACAGTTGCACATTCCAATGGCTGAGATTTACCAGGATGCTTCAGCTGACAGAGAGGGGGCTATCAG